CTGAGCAACAGCTTCACATTAACACACTGATGACAATACTTACTGCAGTCTTTGAATGTGTAAACAAGGTAATATTCAGGGCAAAGAATGAGAGTCTGTTATTTTAGGATTTGACACTTAGATGACAGCTACCTGAACGTCCACATCTGTTGCACATGACTCAGGAATTACGTTCAAATGTTGCAGCTTAGAGAAGGAGACATAAAAATAACTAACTTACAGTGAGAGGCAAAAAGAGCTGTTTAAGTTACAGAAATAGTACCCTGGCGATAGTTAGAAGAGGAACTGAATCCTGGTAATAGATATAACCACATCCAGAGACCGGAAGGCAGAAAAATTTAAAGTAGATACAGAGGACGCTGAAAGAGAATGTTTTTAAACAAAAGCAATCATCAATAAAACGTGTTAGCCAGCTTGCCGAGTTACAACAGATTCTTGAGGGGGAACTGTAAATGATGTTTGACATCACACAATCATTTCTATTGATATGGCAACAGTATCTGACTTCTCTGAGGGGAGGGGCACACAAGTTTTCTACAGCTGAATGACATCAAGGCAATCACAGGAGGAAAGGGGGCTACTCCCAGCTGTGTGTGGTTTGGGGCAGGGGCAAGAGGAGAAGGAGGGATTTGTAGCTGATACATGTACAAATGCTCTAGAGTTCAACCAACCTAGCCCAGAAATAGGAATTAATTAATAGGAGTCCTATGACTTTGTTATAAAGAGGTCAGATGAAAACAACAATCCTTCACAAATCTTATGAGGGCTACATATAAGATATCAAGCTATAGATACAAACAGGTTTTCCATTTGTTGTACCTGTGCAGCTTGAGATCTTATTTAGCAGGTGCCTAAGAGCACTCCAGAGTAATTCAAAAGGAGTCCAGATCTAAGCGTCATGCTACTTACCTAATTCCATTAATAAGAGTGTGAAAGCATGACTTGAGCATCAGAAACATCTTAAGCATCGCCCCTTTATGCATTACCCCATATAAATGCAAGGAAGCAGCATGTACGTACTGACTTCAGCTCCTAATGCTGCAATTTCTTTCAAACCTCACCTGCAACCATAGCAAACTTCAGTCAGCGTGTCACAGGCTAGATACTGCGTAACAGGAGTCACAACCAAGCAGCATCTTGCTCTACATTACTAAAAGATGTCAGAACAAGAGCTGTGCATAGAGAAAGAAAAGGGGAGAGGGGCGTGAAGAGAAAGAACAACAAGAATTTCCCAAGCCAACAATCAACAGGAAGCTGAGACTGAAAAAGGCAAGCAAGGCTCAAACCCTGCTAGTTCTCCTCCTTGAAAATCTACCTGCTCCCTCAAATTACATGCTTCTACAAAAGTAGATACCCTCTTAGCAGCATGATCTCAGTGCAAAGTCTTCTATATCAGTATCAATGCAAAATATACATTTATAAAACAAACCTGTCAACCAAGTTTATATTATAGATAATCAACAAGATTTGCTTCTCGACTGAGTAACCAGTCGATACTAAAATGAGGAAATTATGTCAGGACACATGCTTCTAAACAAAACCATTCTGCATTAGCATCTCTGTCCTTTTCTCTGTAAGACCTTTAGGAAATCCGTAAGTGACCTAATTATCAACCTACCTCTACTCAAAAACAATTAAAGATAGAAAATCTACATTCCACTTAAACATCCTTAAACACAAATTCACGCAGTAAAAGCGCACACAAACTTACCCTCCAACACTGTAAGCTATACCCATTGCAAGATTTTTCAGCAGAAGAATCTCTTCATCACTGTCCAAAAGCATAAGCGCCTCTCTGCTCAAATGAACAGCTAACCTGACAAGAAGCTGCCCTATGCAGAGTAACCTTTATAGAAGGCAACGATAACGACACATGACCATCTTCCCTGGTACGTGCCAAAGGCAAACGCTCCTGTCATTCATTAAGCAAGCAGCACAGAGTGCCTTAGAGTCACTGATTAACTCAGCTCTGATGGTCGGAGGGTCTGGGAGTGACTTCCTCCAGGCCACTCTCAGCACCCTGTAAGTCACGTATGAAGAGAGAAGAATTGGGACAGCAGGCAGAAGGAAACAAGATGGAAGATTTATTAACGGCCTGAAAAAAATACAAAACCCCCCAAAACAGCCTAACAGTTTCCTCTCCATATTAATAACATACACACATATACAAGGGAGGGGGAAAAAGCTCCCCCCCCCCCAACTTCACCGAAGTCTGTCAAGGACATAAAAATATCGGGCTGTGGCCCCCCGGAGCAGCAACTCTGCTGGGAGCGGCTGTTTAAGGGCCCAGGGTGAAAATGCAGCCACTTTCGCAATTGATTACTGAAGCTGTTTTTACAGCACACAGTAATAGTTCATGGAAAAACACAATTAAATGAAAATCAGAGGAAGATTTAGCTAACATAGGGATTATGGATATGCATACTAATTCCTTCTCAATCCCTTCTTTCTTTCTTCTTTTTCTTTTCTTTTTTTTTTTTTAATTACCATGAAATAGCAAGAAGTTGCACAAGCTACTGTGACTGCATTGGACAGAAAGGGTTTTATTTATGCTGCCTTATGGTCAATGAGATGAGAGGTAGTTTGATGTGTTCATACATGAATATAATCTGCATTCAAAATGCTTTTAAACACAGTAAGTTTTTTTGATACGCTCTATCAAAAACGCATTGCCAAGCAATCCCAAATGGCCTGCTGTCTGTGCATAGCTTTAGCTTTCTCAAGATGGCGCACTGATAACTGTGATTTCTGGTAAAAGTAGTATCACCAGTGCGAAGGAAGCTATACATTTTGCCTTGGGATGCATTGGAGAGTTTAGAGAAAACAGACTTGTTACAGAAAGATCTATCTTGTAATCAAATGAAAGACTGGATGGATCACATTCTTAATTTCTGCCCTCTCCTCTGTGACTTTTTAATACATCTCTATGGTGTTAAAACAGACACGTATGAACAGCACTGAAATGACCACTGAAGTGTGACAAAGATCTGAGTAACAGATCTGACAGCAAAGGTGCTGCTTGCCAGCCAACATGGTCAAGAACTGCTGCCACAGCTCACTGCAGAAAATTATCTTTTCTCATTCTAAACCTAAAATTTAAACCAATTTTCAGTACTGAAATTCAGAAATGAATTAGCCCCCCCCCCCAAAATCAGAATTATTTCTGGTCATAAAATGACAAAGAATGACAAAGTAGAGAAGTTAATTTCCAAGTGTGCATTAAGAAGTTTAACAGATTTGCTGTTAAACAGAATAGTGAATCAAATGCAACCTCAATTCAGTTCAATAGCTTTATTCAATATTGGACACACTATCCTCAAAGCAGTAAGTACAATACAAGTAAGTATAATACAAGTAAAGCCTTGTATTATATTAGAGCATCACTCCAACCCCAGGAAGTATTTTATCACCCTTTAATCTTAGAATTTTCTGAACCTCCACTTTTGCAGTGCCTCAGGAGCCAAGGACTGGATTCAGCATACAGCACGCGAACCAAAAGCTACCTTCAATTATATTCCTATGGCCCCCATTCCAGCTGGATCAAACCTCCCCCGCCTCCCCGGTGGCAGCAGCTTCCACCCTGCTCATCTGCTTAACACACTTACTTCTAAAATAAAAGAAATAAGCACATAAAAACAATACACATGCTACACATTTTAAACAAACGTAAAACTTTTAACAAGCAAAAACACATGAAAATTGACTACATGTTAAAGAAACACCACTGCATTACTACAAGTTCAGACTGATGCCTCATTCACCAGAAGCATTATCACTGATTTCCCTACTTTGGGTCATCAACAGACCTGAGAGTTGCTCCAACTTTCTTTCCATTACAGGCATAAATCCAAGAAAGATGAGGGTGTTTGTGTAAACAAATAGTAGCAGCAACTGGACGGCATGCTCTGCAAGAATACAGGCCTGAAAAAGCCCTCCCACTCAAAGAATATTTAACAACTGCAAAAGGGTTTCCTCTAATTAAGTTTGTGGGAAAAAAAAAAAAACACAGATTTTATATAGATTTAATAAGACAGTTACGTTCTTTTATACATTTGTAAGAGAGAAAAGCAGTGGAGGAGTTCAAAAGAGAAACAGAGAAGAGTTATGAGCATGGCTTTAACAGAAGCTGGAGAATAACTAGTAGTTTGTTACCTTTGGCAGGGAGGAGATGCCAGGCAGCAGCTTACAGGCAGCATGCTGCTTACCAACGGGGTGCTCCCGCCGCACACAGCCAGGCACGCAAAGCCAGAGCTGCTGCAGCTGCTCTGCAGGAGCCACTCCACACTTTTGCTGTGCACACAGGCAGTTCAACACCTACATGCACGCCCTGCTGCCATCAAGCAAGAGAAGGGCCAAGGATTTGATTCCTCACAGTCAGGGGAATTTCCCGGGTGATATACCCAGAAAAATCACAGACCTTCACCTTCCTTTTGTTATAGCAATGCTCATTATACATACATATATACACACATGTGCACAAAGCATCTGAATGCATTTTATCAGGAAGGGAGGGATGAATTTTTCACATGGGCTTGAAGGCAGGAACCGCCATATCCATTCAGTTAGGAGCGTCTCCCTTTCTTACGTTATGCTCTTTGCTCGCGTGAAGTATCAATTTCGGCAGTGGCACCTTGCTGGACTGTCGTTCCTCTCCTGCAAGCGCTCCACTTTTACCCTCCTCCTCACTCCCTAGCATATGGCCAAAATCCAGTCGGTCCCTTAGTGCTTTTAGCATACGCTCGCTGCACGTATATTCCTACTTCCATCTTCCAAGTGCACACCTGCTCCCTTTATCCTTCCCACTAGGAGCCCCTACTGGACCAACAACATTGTGTCTGTGGTGTGCAAGAAAACAAGGGCACCCTCTCTTCTCATCTCAGCATCCTTGCCGCATTTGGCACCTTCAATCAGGTAGGAAAAGTCAGATTCAACTCTAGAAAACACTGCACACTTAAAAATTGAGAGAGAAGCATGTTTTCACACAATGTGCAGCAGCTTACCTTTCCCGAGGAACAGCAAACCAGTACTCTGGTTGCTTTATCTTTTTACTGTACTGCTGAGACATGGTGGTGCTCTGAGACGCAAAGGACTTCCTCATGGGCTTGCCCACTTTAATGCACAGAAACATTGGAGGAGTCTTACTCTTCTCCTCTTTTGAAGGAAGCATATCTGAACAAGAGAGACGAAAGAAACAGCCTGTTTACAGGACAGTATAACTACTGCACCTGACCGAGCGGTGGCACAAAGACCAGTAACCGTGTGCGAAGGAATACTCGGAGGCACCATACACAGACTTGCTAGACTCAACATGTGGTTCAACAGCAAAACAGGCTGAATCACGGCCACAGTTTCAGAGGAGCAAGGATTTTAGGATTTTACTCCCATTTCCTCACAGCCTCTATCCCCCTTAGTTGTACAGCTGTTTACAGAACAGCCCTATAAACCTAAAGAGATGATGAGGGGTAAAAATAACATTGGCAAAACAAAACGCAGAGCTGCAATACCCAGCTGGAGCGGACTGCAACATGGAGCCGGCAAGGAAGGGGGACTGCAAAGCGAACACTGTCCGTTACTTCTGCCACCAGAGCTAGCTCAACCAACTGCACCACAGGCAAAGGGCAATGCAGTTGCTGTCTCGTCTCGCTCCAGATGGCTCATCCACCCGAGCCCTTGCGTTAGCCCAGGAAACTGATACAGCAGAAGAATAACTGTGCAAACATGCACACACAAAAACTTTCTGTTTACACTACATCAGCTCTCCGATGGTCAGACAGCCATATAACCACCTTTTGCCCACACAAGAATAAGAGCAGTTTATATTCCTTAAATTGCCACTGCCACCAAAAGTTGTTCATTAAAATATAACCTCAATCACACTGAATTTGCCACATTCATTTTAGGACAATGCATACAGCCTTTTTTTTTTTTTTCTTCTCCTCCCACTGAGAAAGATGAGCACATACAACCAGCAAGACATAAACCCTTCTAAAAGGAGAGGAAAAAATGACTTTAAGAAAAACTGCTTTTAAAGTAAAGACTTCTACTCTTAATTGTCTCCACTGCAATATGAATTAGGGTATATCCACAGGCTCATTGAACTAGAAAGAGAGGAGAAACAGTGTTCTGGGATGCACTAGTGCTCAGAGGCACCAGGTAGTAGTGGAACTAGTAGCACATGAACATGCTCTCTAAACTGAGATTTCATTTTGTTTCATGTTTTCCAGTAACATCCTGAATTTTAACTATAATTATCCAATGGCCCAAAAAACCAATAACGATCGGGCAGTAAGACTCTACCTACGTGCCTATTTATCACTTCTTTGGGAGCACCCGTAGCATGAAAGACACTAGGGTGATATAAAGGTAGGCAAGAATACTCTGGAACCCACTTTACAGCAGCGTGCTACTTTGGATTCTGACTCTCAGAAATAAATTGACAGACTTCATTGAAGCAACAGAACTTATCGATACGGAGTAAAAATTCCGAGGTCATAACGTGTTCTTATCAGTACTGCAACTGGATGACATTTTATTGTCCTTCTTAAAAGCAGTACAGACAGGTAAAGTATGTATAAACAGCAATCACTGAATATAGAAAGAGGAGGCGAGCTACTTGTCAAACTAGAAGCTTAGGAAATTTGAAGGCATTCTTATATTTTTCCACTATTTAGAAGAAAAAAATATATATACATTCTTATGTAAGAGTAAAAAAAGACCAGATATTATAGAAAGAGGAAATTTAGAGCACAAGGATCAATTCAAAGGTTACCGTCATAACGCTGGCCAGCTCTCAGAGGAAACAAGGATAACCAGAGACCTACCTTCAATTGGCACTTGAATTTTCTGCAGCAGCCACAGTCTGATTTCTGATTGATTGTCTAACTGTGTTTCTTGACAGGTCTTGTCTATAGCTGGTACTAATGAAGAGTCCACAGACTCTTTCAGATCCTTTTCCTCTGCTGCTGCTGAGCTGATTTCTAATGAAGGTGCTTTCCTTTCAACACAGCAGGAATCAAGCTCCATACTTTTAACTGTATGGACTTCATTAGCTTGGGACTTTGAACTGCTAAGTGTAAGGTCTATGCCAATTGCTTTATTGTTTTCACCTTTCTGGATTTCAGCCTTGTGCAAGTCTTCAGATGACCGAGACCCATTCCCATCTTTATTGAGGTAAAATTCAATAAGTTTATCTTTCTCTAGCTCTTTCTTAGTGTCCAATGCAGTCTCCACCTTACCTGTTGGGGAACTGATACATTTGTTTACTTCTGGAATAACATCTTGCTTTTCACACAGCTCTAAGTCTAAGTCAGCTTTAGGTTCAATATTGTCCTTTTTTTCCAAGGAATCAACTGTCAAGCGCTCCTGGACTTCTGTAGTGGGTTTGGTTACCTGCTGCTTAGTTCTCCCCAGCTCCCTGGGGTCAGCCAGAAAGCCTTCCATTATTGAGCCTTTCCTGTCCAACCCTCTGTCCATACAAGCTGGAGTCTCCTCCAGTTCAATGAAATCATCCCCTCCTCCTCCCAGGAGAGAATTTTCTTTGGTTTTGATGTCTGAAACACTTTTTTCCCCAGAAGGCTCCTTGGCATGTGGCTCTGCAGCAGACTTTTCCAAATGCTCAGTGGCAGTCATGTTGTTGGGAAACTCCAATGACTTTGATTTGATTGAGCCTGTACTCTCAGAAGACTGAAGAACTTCAAAATCAGCAGACTTTTCTATATCTGAAGGCTTTATTTCTTTGGCACCCAGAGCAGTGGGTGAATCCCCATTCTGCTGCCTCTTTTCTTTGCTGAGGGATTTGAATTTGCTGAAAGGATTGATATCTTTCTCAGATGAAAGGTCTTCCCATTCTCCTGGCCTGTACAGAGGACAAAGATCCTTTGGTATGTCACTGTCAGGGAAAATGATGGATGTACATGGGATGTTAAAAGCAAAATGGAAAACAAACAGAACTGAAAAGAAAAATAAATAATATATATCAACTTAAGCTCTGAAACTCAACTAAAAATTACTTTCACCAAAATAAACATATACCAATGGAAATAAGTGACATTTAAAAGAACAAAAAACAAACTTCAAATAACAGAGGAAAATATGGGAAGGATAATACTGAAAAAAAAAAATGAGTAAACCACTCTGCAGAGTATGCCACCCAGGTGAAGAAATGGTACATAATGTGCAAGTCATCAGAAGTTCAACAATGAAAGACCTCTGAACAGGTATTTAGCTCTTGAAACTTCGTTTATCCCATATTAACAATGTTACTTCACCCACTTACAATGAGTCAAGCTCTCTAACCATTCATGCTTCCTCTAGTCACTACAAACATGCTTTTGAGAAGAAAGCAGATCAGGTATAAGCTGTACCCTGTTTAAACATGTTTACTGCAAAGCCGTAACTGGCAATAAGGTTTTTATTTTTATTTTTTACTTTTTTTTTTTTTCTCTGTCACTAAAATGTACTGACTGAATGCAGGCTACCCCAAGGATTTATTTTTAAAGTGGGGCAATCATAAAATAGTTCAAAATAGAAAATTCTCAAAAACATAACAGCATACAGCTTAAGCTTTGTTACTGATAAAAAGTTTAAGATGAATGAGAATACAAGATTTTCTTCATTTAGAATTTAAAATACTCTAGTAATGAGCACAATGCAAACACTTAGAACATTTTTGGGGGCGAGACAGAGGGAAGCTAGCTGAACTTCACTGACTAAATCGATGTTGCCTAAATTGTGAAGACAAAACCTTGCACAGAACACATACATAAGCAATGCTTAGATTATGCATAAATGAAAATGTAACCTTATTTAAAAAAAAAAAAAAGCCTATCATGTATTACAAACTCTGACTACCAAAATATTTCTGGTTCCAAAGTAGAACTATTCTATAGATTGATATTTCTGCAAGTCCTGAAGATGGCAATTGACTTGCTGTTATGTTCAAAAGTTTTTAATAATACTCTCAGTACGGTCCCAATAACACACTTCCATTGAAACAATGCAATTTTCAGCAGAACCTCCTCATGAAATAACCCTAGATATCAGAGAGTGCACAAGCCTAACCTTGGCACGCCACCAGCGCTTTTAATCACTAATTTTAACTGATCGTCTTTGCAGTTCCGTTTTTGTATTAATGACCCATTTCTCTTTTATTGCCAATGAAGTGTTTTTAAAAGAAAGAGAAAGAACAGCACCGGTGTTCTGTAATTTCTTTGTTGGCACTTTCTTCCCCTGACATGTCTTATTCTCCTGCATTAAACCTCATTCTTATTTTTTTCATTTCCCTTAATGACAATTTGTAAATATAAGTTCAGGAAAGAACACTCCTTACGATGGCAATGCATCTTTAATCTTCATGTGAGAAATGTCATTGTAGAGAGCTATAGAGACAACTTCCTCCATGGGGCAGATAAGCCCATATTCTTCACAGCCATTCTCAATTACCAGCGGATCAGACTTATGTGGGTCAAACATGATGTTGTTTGGCGTTACTATCATGACTCCTCCAACTACACCCTAAAATAGAAGGAGAAAGAGTTAGCACATCACATATAATCCATTTATCACTTAGTACTGGCTTTTAGGCTACTAGCCTAGAAAAACCTCTCTCATGCCTCTTTAAACCCCTGTGATGCAGCGCTTCCTAATCAAACATTTTGGCTTCCAATTGCATCAGGTCAGACATTGCAAGAGCACGAAGAAAAAGATTTCTTAGTGGCACTCCAATTCCTGGCTAAAAAGTACAGAATGAGGAAGAAATCTGAACAATTCGATTTTCAGAGTTGGCTGCTACAAGCTAAACCTGCAGTTTGTTAATCAACCTCAGACAAGATAGGGTGGTGGGTTTAAAAAAAAAAACACCAAAAAAACAAACAAAACAACAAAAAAAATAAACAGTACCATTTTACTCTGGCTATATCTACCTTCATAAGATGTCCGAGTTTATATATGCAGCAGTACACCTGGAGGCAGCCTTACTTATGGGAATGTCAGGGTCACCATTCTAACCCAAATTCCACATCCCCTTGATCTAGTCTTCAAGAGGTAAAAGCATCTATGTAGTATTTTACCTAATATGAAGCTGCTTCTCCTCTGGTATCACTGATCTGACAGTATTGTACCCGGCTGCAGAAGAAGCATTTAATTCTTCAAAATTTGCTCTAGCCATGGATTTGGTCAGAGGCTGCATCACCCATTATTCATCATTTACTTCAACCTGTGACATCTGACAATTTTTGAAGGTTTTCAAATGAGATTTTTAATGTCTTGTTCCTGTACCCTTTCTCCTCTCCAAGATGAGGTACAAAATTCACTGAACACAGAAGCTGGGCACAAATCATGAGATCTGACAAACAGGAGTCACAGGTCAACAAGCCTACACTGGAGATACTAATTGTTCAAGGTCATCTGCAAGACATGCCAGGGGAGGCTAAGGAGTAGGCAGTCAGATGACCGTGAAGTATTTATCTGGGAGATAAAACTAATGACTTGATGCTGACAGGTGAGCACGTGTGCCTGCTCTCTTGCAAAGCAATACACTTCCCATATGCTTCCCCCTGTATGACTAACGTACACGTAGTAGATTTGTGTTTGGACGAAACAGTCTGATTCAAGGGCAGAGACTTCGTCCCCAGGTACATACTTGATTCAGGTGGGAGGACGATACATCAGTAGGCTGCACTTCTTACCCAGTCACAAAAGGAAGCAAGGTAACACGGGATTCTACACTGGCAAAGAAGCTGTCCCACTTCTGACTGTCATGACTGCGGGTGACTTTTTCTATCCCAAAGCCATAAAACTCGCACTATGTCTTCTGTACCTAGCAAACATCACCTAACAAAGTAAGAGCGCTGCTGTAATTTGTGGGGGGGAAAGCAAGTAGCCCTCTGTTACTCTCTATAAAATAGCAGATTACAGAAATTGCAGAGTGGTTTTAAATGCAGTCTGCACCCACTCAATGCCAAAAGAAGCCAAAAAGTTTAAGTGTAAATGCATCCTTCTTATGAAAGTCATAGGACGAAGGGAAAAAAATATATTTAAAGCACAATGGTTAGCATCTCCAGTGTTGCAGATTCCAGAGAACTTGAAAACTCGAACATGCAAACCTCTAACTGTAATGGGAATCAACAACAGCAGCTGCACAAAAGCATACAGTTCAAGGAGACAAACTCTGTAATCTTTAGAAAAGACGGGGGTTGTCCAAGCTCTGTGCTTTCATTTCTAATACAGCTGGCCCCCAAAATAAGGGCTGCAGTCCCAATAGGTAAAACAAGAGGGCTTGCGAAGGGAGGGGAAAAGAAAAACAAAAAAAAGGCCATACCATGCAATATTTTTATTTGTATTGGGGGTTGCGTGACATTCATTTGCAAGTGCAGAAGTAACATGTATGTTTTTGGAAATATTGCTCTGGAAACAGTTGAAATTTAGCTTCAACTCATAAATGAAATAGACAGGCGTGCACTCATTTTATAAAGCCATTGCACAATACGATGGAACTGGACAACTAATCCTGACACGTCTGAACTCCGAAATGCAATTTTTTCTCTGCAGGGATTATCTAGCAACACTCTGAAGGAGATATTTCTAGTAAAACACTGTAAGGGAATGAAGACGGGCAGAAGAAAGAGCTATTCTTCCATAAAACAGTTATCATAACAGATACAAGTAATTAACAAACAAAATAATATAGCATATTACCATGGCAACAATAGAGCAGTGATAAATAAAGCTAGCATAACATCTACGTTCTTTACAAACGTGGTGTGCATTTGGTTCTCCAACTACTCATCTCTCACCCAAACTGATTTTGCTTGTAAAGGATCTCAAACAACGTCCCAAGGGCTAGGTTCCACCTACCTTACCATCTGTGAAGTAACGACAATTCATTTTTAAGAACTTGACAACAACAGGCTCATCCTCTTCTGAAGTAGAAGATAGGACTCTCTCAACTGGTCTGAAGGCCTTTCTTGCCAAATCAGCATCCTTAAAAAAAGGAAGCAGCAGTGCAGGGTTGGAGGACCAGTATTATATATTCATAGATTTTGGGCAACTAAAACAATTTCTGCCAACTGTTTTCCTTTTGCTTAAGGAGAAAGAGTTGTGGCCATGTAAGTACGCATGTATGTACACTTCACATATTATCCTATATGGAAGAAAAACTTGTAAAATTACAAAAAAACCCTCCATATGAATAACAGGCAAAAAAGTCAGAAATACCAAGGCAACTTAGTATACACTCTTTTCCTATCAGGGACTCACGTTAAGTTAAGTGAAGCTCATTCCTGCCACTTGATCCACACCAAAGACCTCTGCATACAGTGCAGCCCCATTGACATTGGTGTGACGCCAAATGCAGGTGGCAGAGAGGCGAGTAAGGCAAAGCTTAAACACACGGACTCACTCCAGACTTCTCTCTCAATTAGTTATGGTATGAAATGCTTAACTGATTTAATACCAGCACGTGGACAGCCAAAAACCTCTGAAACTACTACCAAAAATCATCACAGCCTTTTAAGAAAAATGAAAGGTTTAATCACAAAGATTAATCCGGTGGTCTTGTCTTATATGCGTCACCATACAAAAAAGGAGGATGCTCATACTAAACTAATAATCCCATGCTCAGCAATCCCAATGCTCCTGCTCAAAGCTCTGGATTGCCAAACAACAGGGAAACCTCCAGGGTGAAACACTAAATACATACTTTATATCTAGTTCCCTATCCTTTAAAAACTAACTATACACTACACCTTTTTCAATTCTTCTGATGTACTCTAGGCCCAGTTCAACTCACACTGGCTTTCTAAGATTAGAGTCCTTCATTTGGAATATGTTAAGCGATGGCAAAGTTTGTAGTACAGCAGGTTAAAGTTATCATTAGTCAATATTAACAACGTTATTCATGAGGTCTCAATTGTAATCTCAAAACCAGCTATTTACACAGCCCAGTATCGCAGTTTCAAAATCAGAACAAAATTATTTAGAAAGCGTTAACACCAGTGAACCAATGTTTCACTTACAGGAAGTTTATCATATTCAGCATCTGATGACGAAGGAGAAACAGGAGCACCAGGGCTGAAAGACGACAACCTCCCAGCACTTGTTTCTGGCACAAAGAGAATCTAAATTAAAAAAAAACGAAACAATCAAAACAGTAATAGCCAGAAGTTTAAAAAAAGTTACTGTAAACACCTATGTTCTACTACAGAGACACACCAATATCCACTCATGATTGCAACACACTATTCAAAAAACTTCTTACTCTAGAGTCCTCTTTCACTAGTGGTGCTGGTGGGGCAAATGCAGATATTATCACAGGATCTAGTTTTACATTTTGTGTTGCAGCATGGGCAAAAAAATAAAATATTTTCCCTAGGGCAAGAATACCCTTTTTTTCTAGGTTATACTCCCAGTTTCTGTATTAGTCTTGTAACTATTGCAGCTACAAAACTAGTAATCTATAAGACGACTACTAACTTCCAGTGACTCGTAACAGCAAAGTTTAGATGAAAAAAATAACACCACTGTTGAAAAGAGGGGATTTTCAGTAGTAGAAACTTAAAATGCTTCTCTAGGCTGCCCATTTCCAAAAACCAGCATTTTAGCATTTTGTACTTCATTTTAAAAAGCCCTTACATTAGTACAAATGCGTTCATACAAAAATATAATACTTTAACTTTTTACAATTCATCACAGGGAATGCCCCAATTTTTTAATTGCAGTACAGCTTTGGACATCCACCCTAAAGAAGATGCTTCTAAAGCAAAAAAAGAAAAAAAGTTCATACTTTAGTTTTAAGCTAAACATGTTAAGACAAATAAAACCATTTAGCTTATCCCAGCCTTTGTCTGCTGGGTGATCTTAGGCAAGTCACGCCACCTCTTTATGCCTCAGTTTCCTCTCCGCAAATTAGCACGTTTCAGTCTCTTCCTATCTATGAAGCAAGAGTAGAGATCCGCTCTTTAGAAACTAAGTGGTAGCCCTCATATTTCCATTACTTGAATCTCCCCAAAACAGTCCATCATGTATCCATTTATTCCTCATCTTACAGGAGACTGACTCATCTCTAATATAAAGGCAAAGGGCCATTTCAATTACTGTTTCTAACTCCTTAATGCATTATATAGCATTTATCTAGGCTTTTCAAATCAGCTCTCTCGCAACAGATACATTCCTCTTGAGCTTCAGAGTAATCTTAAAGCTTTAGTGACAGCAAATAAATAACAAAAATCATACATAGCAATTACAAAGTCCCTTTCCACCTCCCCACCCCACCCCCTGCCCAAGTAATGATCTAGTGAGTTCCCATTTGAGGGATTTAAATTACTGTCCATTCCCCTTGTATCCGTGTACCTAAAAGATATGTGAAAGCAGCAAAAAGCCTTTAAACATAGCAAATAATCAGGTTTCAGGTATTAAAAAAAAATCATAAAAGATTTACCTGTCCTGGAACAATTGTGTGCGTAAAAAGCTTATTGAGTTCCACAAGCTTGTTTGGGGTGATGTTAAACTTCAATGCTATGCTGTTTATGGTGTCCTGATTTCCAGCCTGAAGAAAGAGTTGAAGCTTAAGATACAGTAGTGATCACATATAGCGCAACAGCTGAACTAAAACCATCTAACAGACTGTTTTCAGGGAATAGATTTGATAATCTAACACATCTTCCATTTAATAGCTATATTTCCCATAGAAAATATGTGATAAGCTAATATCAAGGAAAAAATAAAAAAAATTCTCTCATGCTATACGGTAGGTAAAGCACAAATGTGTGAAAAATGTCCATCTCATTTTGTCATAAAACTTAATTGCAACACCCCTTCAATGCAGCAGCACCTTAATTAGAACTGGTATGGCAAGCGGGGAAAGGACACATGTTGGAAAGGTCATCGCACCTTCATCAGCCCCAGCAAGTGAGACACTTGCTTCGTTTCCAGCTAGGGCACTAGTCCCTTACGTTCACGCTGAGTGTCGGGGCAACCACTGCTCAGCGCCTCTGGACACCACGGGAGTGACTTTCTGCACAGAGGCAGTCCTTCAAGGTACGCTGACAGCACATGCCCATGGTGCTTCAGTTTAGAAAAAGTCCTCTCTCAGCCATTTCAGGGGCCAAGCACAGACCAACGAATAGATGTTCTGAGCAACATTGTGGAACAGAAGTCTTTTTTAGAAGAAGAAAACCATTTTGTCTATTAAAGGGCCATGTTGCATAAATAAAAATAGGACAGGAAACTGTGAGAAGAGGCAGAACACCTGGGCCAAACAGTGGTTCTGTATGTGAGCCTAGCTCTCCTCACTCAAAGATATTTGGAACAATCCCTACTGAGATGCATACAAATTACAGTCATTACGCACTTGATGTTTTCAGTTTTGTATCATTTTAGCTATCAACCTCAACAACTCCACTTCTGAAAAGCAGAAGTGGACAAGCCACACACCAGTACTTACAGTATATTCTATGGTGCCTTGGGGTTTCTGAGAAACCATTTTTTTCTCCTTCTTTTCATTAGTTTTGTTTTGATTGTCATCTGTAGAGGGGAAAAAATCATTGAATCAATTGACTTTCAAGACATTTGTCTAGCAGCACGTTTTAAAGGAGATTTACAGGATGTGCAAACTACATCTGTGAATAGGAACATGAGGACATGTCCAAAATATTTATTAGGCCCAGAAATTGCATCTCAAGGCCAACAACAATTTCATCACGTACGACAGGTTTAGTAATCATTCAGGAACTCTGAAAGCACAATTTACACACGCTGCCACATCAGTACAGAGCTGCTCCCATGTTTTTCTCCACACCTACTATGCAGTTCAGCTGTTGCATATAAGCACCTGCTGCGATGAGCTGCTATCAGTGCTCAGACAGGAATCAGCATACAGATATATGTGCTGATCCTGCATCAGTATGACCACAGCGCACAGTGGTTAATCATCGTTTCACCATCGGTGCTTCATGTTTAAATGCTATTTTAAACTCTAAAGTTCCAAGCATGCCAAGAGTTCCCAAACAGGCACACACAAAGCACGCTGGTCAGAAGACATTTTCCATCAGCGACCGTATGCAAAACTCACTGCACCTGCTCAACCCTTGCAGGACCAGCAGCATGAGAGGAGCAGTTATTTGTAATTCTTACCTTGGCAGAAGGTAAGTGAAGCTGAAGATACGACCCCGCTGCCCCACCAGCCCCAGCTCCCTGCAAGCGCCCCCGGCCC